TGGAGGGGGGTGTTGGTCGAGTTTGGGCGAGAATTCATGGGGTGGGGAGTCCGAAAAATAGAGCCTCCAAGGGGTGGGGATGCCGGGGCATGGAGGGGGGCATGGAGGGGGGTGTTGGTCGAGTTTGGGCGAGAATTCGTGAAATTGGGGGTCGCAAAGACAGAGGCTCCAAGGGATGGAGATGCCGGGGCATGGAGGAGGGCATGGAGGGGGTGTTGGTGGAGTTTGGGCGAGAATTCGTGGGGTGGGAAGTCCCAAAGACAAAGGCTCCAAGGGATGGAGATGTCGGGGCATGGAGGGGGGCATGGAGGGAGGTGTTGGTCGAGTTTGGGCGAGAATTCGTGGGGTGGGGGGTCGGGAAGCCGAAAAAAGGAGAACCCCCTAAATTCACCAAAAACCAACAGAAACTCAATGATTAGTGCCTCTTGGGGCCTTCTTGGGAGTGCTCTTGGAGACCTCTTTGGGGCCGTCCTGGAGGCCTCTTGGGCCATCTTGAGGTCACGTCGGTCACTCTTGGAGCGCTCTTGTGCTGTCTTGGGGGTCTCTGGGACGTCTCCGATGACCCCCCTGATCGCCCTAGGTGTGCTGGGAAGGCTTGGCAAACCGCCCTGCGAGGCCCAGGGGGCCGCTTCGAGGCCCGTCCGGAGGGTCCCAAAGCCCTCCCGAGAGTGGCTTTGGGGGGGGGTCCCCCCGCCCGGGGTTATAAAAATGTAGGAAGAGGAATATGTGGCCAGGTACGGGTCGGACCGGGGCATAAGATCGAGCGCTGTGCGGGAAGGGTGCTTCTAGTGTTCTTCGTGTTTGCCGGATGTTCTCGTCCATCCAGGATGCACCTCGCACGTTTTTCGGTTTTGGGCCTCCTGTTCCTGGAGGCTGTTCTTCTGCCGGCTGTAGGCACGTGCGCTGCTCTGGGGCCCGGGGTGGGCCAGGCCTTGGGGCCGCGGACGTGTGCTTAGATCTCGCCGCCCGAGGTCAGGGCGCCCGTCGTGCCCCGCGGGGAGGAGGTCCCGTGGCCCGCGGGCCTGGTGCGGGCCAGAGCCCCGCTCGAGGAGCAGGCCCTGCTCGGCGCCTGGCGCGAGGCGGAGCTCCCGTGGCCCGCCTTCCCGGCGGAGGACAGCAGCGGCGGCGTCTCGGAGCGCCCATCGCGGGCGTTCGACTCGCCGAATCGGACGCAGCGGCGCCGGATGCAGCGCCGGATCAAGAAGATCACAGACAGGCATCAGGGGCACTCCTCCTCCTCCTCCTCCTCCTCCTCCTCCTCCTCATCCTCCTCCTCCTCCTCCTCCTCCTCCCCCTCCTCCCTCCTCCTCCTTTCCTCCTCCTCTCCTCCCTCCCCTCCTCCTCCCTCCTCCTCCTCCTCCTCCTCCTCCTCCTCCTCTCCTCCTCCTCCTCTCCTCCTCCTCCTCCTCCTCCTCCTCCTCCTCCGTGGGGGGGGGGAGCTGGCTGGCCCGCTGGCCCCGGGGGGAAGCAGCGACCCCCGATCCCATTCGTTGCCCATCGGGGCCTGTGCGCCCCATCGCTGCCCAGGAGCGAGCGGGCTCGCGATTGGTGGCCTATCGCTGATAATGGTTTACGCTTCGCGTTTCGCCACCAGCTGACCTTGAGAGCTGACGGGAACAGGGACGAAGAGACACATCTAGTGAAACAAAGCGAGCAGCGTGATCGTTTTTTTCATTGGTTTGCCGATCGGCGCGGCCCCTCGCACCCCACCCCCCCACCCCCCATGGAGTATCTTGGCTGTTTTTGGCGCCTGTTTCGAGCAGGTGGAGTCTCCTCAGAGGACGCACGGTTCCAAACAGTCGCACTAAGCAGAGGTCCAGAGCCAGACACCCCCCCCGGCTCCCCCCCCCTTCCGCCCAATGTCGAAATTCCGAAAAAGAAATTGTTGCCAACCAGTGTGAACAGAGAGATCTCTGGGAGCAAGGGGGTCGGGGCGCTCTTGGGGCCTCTTGGGAGCCCTGGAGGGCCTCTTGGGGCTGTCGTGGAGGGTGTTGGTGAGGTGAAGAGGGGGGGGTACTAAGGTTTAGCCCCCCGTCCAGAGCCATCAAAATAGCCTCTTGGGGCGTTCTTGGACCTCTCTTGGGGCGCTCTTTGGCGATCTTGGGGCCGTCTTGGGGGCATCTTGGGCCCCTCTTGGAGCTCGATTGGGCCATGTTGAGGCCACCTTGACGCCTCAAAACGCATCGGAAGCGAGAAGGCGAGACGACAGAAATCATGATGTTCCCTAGGTGTTTTAATGTTTTGGCTGCTCGGGGAGGTCCTGAGGGGTGCCACTCGGGAGTCAGCATATCGCGTAAGGACGCCGCGGACGCCACGGGTTCCAGATGCACCAGACCCTGGAGGCCCAAGCGTGCCAGGCGTGCCAGGTGCGGCACGTGCTCCACGTGCGCCCAGTGTTCCACGTGCTTCAGCCGCGCCAGGTGCGCCAGCCACTGGGAACCAATGGGGGCTCTTGGGCCCAGTATTGACCTTTCTTAGCCAATTTTGGAACCATGTGGAGGTTTCGAAGTCCCATCGGAAACGGTAAGGCGAAAAGGCAGCCACTGATGTGTCACCAGTCGGTCGACCACCTGCGCCCAGAAGGCAGGTGGGATCTACCGTCCCTGTAAATTACCACTGCAAAATGGTCGCGGGGCGGCCGCGCATGCTCCAAATGTGGAGGCATAGAGAGTTGCGCATTGTTTTTTGACAGGGACGGTGTGGGGGAGTGACCCTCATGGGATTGTCATGGTTCCGGGTTGGCCGCTGGCCGGGTGGGGGAGGGGGTGTATCTTGATAGGGAACGGTAATAAACTCCCCGAAGGGAACGAAGGTTTTTTCGACGAGGGTTTGTAGAATTTTGGCGATGTATCGCCGATTCCACGTCATTGTCCCCTCCCCAGTCCCCCCACCCTGTCGACCCCCCTCGAGGCAGATGGTGTCCGAGGACTCGAACGGCACGCGGACTGTAGGCATGTTTCCAGGACATTTCGTGCAGCCGGCATCGGCTTGTTTTTATATGTTCATGTGACTGTGGAGCCGAGCGGTGTGGCGTGGGTTCGTCTATTGATGATCAGCAGCACAAGGCTCAAGCTACACGGTGTTTTGGCGATATCGTGGCTCGTTTTCGCTTTGAGTTCGTTTTGGCGGCGAAGGCAGTACGAAGACAGAACGGAGGAGGAGGAGGAGGAGGAGGAGGAGAGACGGAGACGAAGACGGAGACGGAGGAGGAGGAGACGGAGGTGAGGAGGTGCCCGCCAAGCGCGGCCGCCCCGCCCGCGCGCGGCGGCAAGTCCCCGAGGCCGACGCAGCCACAAGAAGCGCGCACTGTGTAGTAGAGCGTCTGCGAGTAGCAGATAGCGCTCATCCTCCTCGTCCTCCTCCTCGTCCTCCTCCTCCTCATCCTCATCCTCATCCTCCGCACGCGCTGGTTTGGCTCGGGCTACATCCCTGGACTCTGCCTCGATGTAGTGCAATGCAAATCCCACATGTCGGATCGGGGCCATTTGCGAGAGCAGCGGAACGCGCTTGTCTAGGATGGGATTCATAGCGGGGGTCCACTGGCCTGAATGGCGAGCAGCCGGCCGGGATCCACCGCGGCCCACGATTCGGAGGAGGGAGGGAGGAGGAAGGGAGGGGGAAGGGAGGGGGAGGAGGAGGAGGAGGAGGAGGAGGAGGAGGAGGGGAAGGAGGAGGAGGAGGAGGAGGAAGAGGAGGAGGAGGAGGAGGAGGAGCAGGTGGAGGAGGAGGAGAAGGAGGACAGGAGGAGGAGGAGGAGGAGGAGGAGGAGGAGGACAGGAGGAGGACAGGAGGAGGAGGAGGAGGAGGAGGAGGAGGACAGGAGGAGGACGACGAGGAGGAGGAGGAGGAGGAGGCCGACGCAGCCGCAGGCAGCGCGCACTGTGTAGCAGAACGCGCTCGGTGAAATCCAGAGGCGCCACCCGCACCCTCACCTGCCAGTGCGCTCGGCGCACGGCTGTCCCAGCCCGTGCGCTGCCAGCGGGCGCGCGGGGGGGCGGCGAGGTGCCCAGGGCTCAAGCCAAACAGAGGGGGATCTCCTCCTCCTCCTCCTCCTCCTCTTCCTCCTCCTCCTCCGCCTCCTCCTCCTCCTTCTCCTCCTCCTCCTCCTCTTCCTGCTCCTCCTCCTCCGCGCGCGCTTGTTTGGCTCGGGCCACATCCCTGGACTCTGCCTCGATGTAATGTGTCGCAAATCCCACATGGCGGCGAGCAGCGGAATGCGCTTGTTAAGGATGGGATCCGCTGCCGGGATCCACTGGCCTGAATGGCGAGCAGCCGGCCGGGATCCACCGCGGCCCACGATTCGGAGGAGGGAGGGAGGAGGAAGGGAGGAGGAGGGAGGGGGAGGAGGAGGAGGAGGAGGAGGAGGAGGAGGAGGAGGAGGAGGCGGAGGAGGAGGAGGAAGAGGAGGAGGAGGAGGAGGAGGCCGAGGAGGAGAAGCAGGAGGAGAAGCAGGAGGAGGAGCAGGTGGAGGAGGAGGAGGAGGAGGACAGGAGGAGGAAGAGGAGGAGGAGGAGGAGGACAGGAGGAGGACAGAGGAGGACAGGAGGACGACAGCAGGAGGACAGGAGGAGGAGAAGGAGGACAGGAGGATAGGAGGAGGAGGAGGAGGAGGAGGAAAAGATGAGGAGCACGAGGAGGAGGCGGAGGAGGACAGGAGGAGAAGGAGGCGGAGGAGGAGGAGGAGGCGGAGGAGGAGAAGGAGGAGAAGGAGGCGGAGGAGGAGGAGGAGGAGGACAGGAGGAGGAGGAGAAGGAGGAGGAGGCGGAGGAGGAGGAGGACAGGAGGAGGAGGAGGACCAGCGTAAACCTAAGAGTCAGCAACGCGTTTGGAAGAAACCCTCCAAGCTCCCTCCTCATAGACCGAAGGGTCTGTAATGATGGTGGAATCAACCCTCCAAGCTTCCTCGTCATAGACCCCTACAGCGGTTCACTTCCACTGACGGAACTGCCTTGTTGGAAAACCGTTTTTTCAAGAGCCTGACGGGTGCCAAAACTGTTGCCTCGGGATTCCAACCCCACGGATCAGCTTGCCAATTGCGTCTTGACGATCCTGGTACTGCAGCACCGCGAATCAACGTAACTAATGCACCCTGATAATCCTGAATCTCTCCAGAACACCATGTCTGGTGCGTTGGCCATGGGAGCCCGTGAAAGTTTCGCAAGTTTCCAGACGCAGAAAAAATGCAAACTCGCGGCGCTAAAGCAAGAGCCACATGGTGAAAAGAAGCCGCCTTCAATTCGTGAAACCCTTGCGGATGTGAAAAAGTGTATATGCGCGGCGCTAAGGCGAGAGGCGCATTCTCAAAACCACCCTCCCTCAATCCGTGAAGGTCTTGTGAATGTTGACAACGAGTGCGTGCGGCGCTAAGGCGAGAGCCACATTTTGAAAACCACCCGCCCTCAGTTCGTGAAATCCCTGGGTATATTTTAAACCAATGATGTGCGCGGCGCTAAGGCGAGAGCCACATGTTGAAAATGGCCCGCCTTCCATGTGTGAAACGGTTGCACATGTTCATCAGGGTCATCAGTGGTGAGGAAGTCTCAGGCGAAACGCCCGGCCCGCCTTTTCGACCGGCCCCGGGGTGCGACAGGTAGAAGTTATTCACCAGGAAAAGGAATGGAGGAGGAGACGGAGGAGGGGGAGGCGGAGGAGGAGGCGGCGGCGGAGGAGGCGGAGGAGGACGAGGAGGCGGAGGGCGCACGCCCGCGTCCCGTCGTGGACAGCAGGGGGGACCCAGGCTCGGAGGGTCTCGGAGCGTCGAACGCCAGAACGGGCGAGAACATCAACACCCGCCCAACAAAGTCCGTAGCCATTTTGGCTCAAGCCATTTTGGCTCAAGTTGCAATATCGGGGAACCCCCGTCTCGAGGGTCGAGGCGGACCGCGCGCGCGAGTGCAGTCCTGGAGAGGCCCCAGGACAGGGACTGCCGCATTCCCTTTTTCTGTCACCCTGCTCCTACTCCGCATATTGCTGAGTACCGCATCTTTCCTGAGGTTCCTTTCTTCATCGGCGCCATGGTTTTCAAAGGACACGTGCGCAGACAAGACAAATATGAAGAGCGAGAGGATCGGCGCGCTCGTCGTGAGCGCCGTAATGTTGATCATGATAGGGATGGCTCTGTGTCGTCCCAGGGGTCTCTTCGTCACGCTCCTGTTAAGCATCGTCACTCGAACCGCAGCAGGTCTGGTGATCCCTTGCCTTCGACGCCAGGCAGCAGCTCGACAGAGGCCAAGATGGATACCCTCATTTGTAACATGGAAACGCTCTCACAGTTGGTCGCCAACCAGTCGGTTGACATGGGCACCATCGAATGGAGGCCTGCAAGGTCTCGATTGATCGATGTGCTGCGCTCGCCGACCAGATGACGCTGCCTAGCCGTGAGTACAACACTCGTCATCAGGAACTTCAAGCTTATGTCTCTTCCTCGCTGAATGCGCTCGACTACAGGATGGGCACTATGGAGGCGAATGGCAGCGATACAGCTATGGGGGCTGCTGATCCTGTTCTGCAGGCCAAGGTGAATGCGATTGAGAGCTCCCTTACCGAACTCTTGGATCGCCAGCGGGCCTCTGAAGGCCACACTGCCGCAATGCAGGCCACGCCAACGCCACCTCCGACTCCTGCTCCTGGCCGCTCGTCGCAGACGCAGCAGAACGCCCGGGACCAGACGTGCAAGCTCGTGCTCCTTGGTTTCCCGCGGCGCATGCTGGCGGGCGACCTCAAGCACATCGGCAACTCCTGCATCTCCACTTTCGCGCCCGCCACTGCGGCGGCCAAGATCATCGCCCGTGGATTCGACATGTCGAAGAATGTCACCCTCCACTTCGAGTCCGCGCTGGAGGCCTCCACGTTCATGGACAACTTCAACCGCGCGAATGGCCCCTGTAACGTAGCGGATCCGCTGCACCCAGGCGCGCAGTTCACACTTCGGCTGCGCAGAGACCTTGACTTCCAGGGTCGCCAGCTGTTTTCATCTCTCGGGCGCGCGCGATGCCATCTGACCGATCTCATGCGGAACCGCGGCTGCGAGGTCGGGGGCTCTGGGCTGGGGGGGGGGCGTCTACATCCTTCGTGGCCCGCGCGATCCAGTTCCTGCGGTCAATATTTCAGTCTCTGACAGCGGCGCCGTCGAGACGGAGATTGTTCGCGACGCGCTTTTAGAATTTGGCATCTCACAGCATGCAGCCGCACTTGAGGAGGCAGCACAGGTTCAACTGCGCCGCCCCTTTCGGCGCTGAGCCAGACCGGTCCGATAGCTTAGGCAGTTTCCCTGCTCCCTGGCAGTCATGTTAACATCACTGACCTGTTCATGCCTGAGCCCCGGAGAGAGGGCGACGAGCTGAGGCTATAGGGGCCTCAGCTCGTCGTCCTCTCTCTCTCTCTCTCTCTCTCTCTCTCTCTCTCTCTCTCTCTCTCACTCTCTCTCTCTCTCTCTCTCTCTCTCTCTCTCTCTCTCTCTCTCTCTCTCTCTCTCTCTCTCTCTCTCTCTCCCTCTCTCTCACGCCGTCGCTTGGATCCAAACCTTCCGCGGCTGCTCGTGGCGGCCCTCTTTCGAGCGGAAACCCGCGCCTCCGTGGACGCGGTCGCAAACCACGGTGTGCCATGTCCACATGGGGGTGCTGGACGCCCAGGGGACGCGCGGAGGCATGCCTCCCTCCTCTCCCACCTTCGCCGGGCTACCATTCTTATAGTCATTAAGCGTAAGGGGTTCGCCCCCTGCCGCTGGCCCCCTCTCTGTCAGAATGGGACATGTCAGAGTCGCGCCAGTGCGTCTGGGCGCTGCCTCGGCGCACCTGGGCACAGCATGCGGAGGCGGACAGGAACCATCAGCACATGTTGAGACGTTGGCGTTGTCGAAGACGCCTGCAGCGAATCAACGCCGCCCCCTGCCTTTTGGAATCGCCCATGTGGCCGAGCGTTGCGGCAGGAGCTCTGCCGAGCTATCGGGCCATGTGTTCCCCCAGCCTTTCTAGACTTCGGGGAACACTTGGGGGAGGATGGCGGGGAAGATCAGGAGGAGCAGGAGGAGGGGGCATCTTGGGGGCCTCTGGGGGCACTCCCGGGGCCTCCCGGGAGCTTCCCCGTCGGAGATTTGGAGGGATTCCGCGGATGCTGAGGCAGACCTCCACTGTTGGTTGAGCCAGCTTCACTCTGCGATT